GGAGGGCCTCTTCTTCATTTTTAATTCACATTTCCTGCTATGATTACCTTTGACTTTTCCGACAAACTTGCTTTCTGAAGATCATAAGCTTTATGAAGGAAGGTAATGCATGTGTCTGGTCCACTGCTGTATCCTTAATATCTATCAAAGTGACTGGCAGAAAGTATTGTTGAATCTGATGTGTTGATAAATGTACCTTACATTTCTTTCCTCCAACTGATGAAAGATGACTCTCTTCTTGCTTGAAAGCTCTTACTCACACTTTGTTTCAAACCTCTGTATATGGCCATGTAAGTGGAGGAAGGAAGAAAAGGATTAAGGGGAGAATGGGGACCTAAGTGCCAAGTATAACAGATATAAGTGGTACCTGATTCCCTGCTATGGATGTCTCTCCACATGCCATCCTGAGAAGGAAAGGATCAGCATGTTTTCATCCTTTCTAGGATTTAGGCATAAGGATGGTTGACGGGTAGGAAGAGATTTGATGAGCTGTACCATCAGAGATAAAAAGGAAGGAACAGAAACTTAACTGTGCTTTTACTTTTCAGAAGGGAGCCAGGGACTAGATCAGGAGCCAAAACTTAGATAATGAGATAAGATTCTGGAATGCATGTTATTTTGTCATGTTGGGTGCCTACTCTTAGCATATTTTTTTGAAAGCTTATGGAAAAAAGACTCTAAACTTGACTTTGAAAACTGCTAGAAGGGGATAGCTGTGAACCTAGCATTCTACTCTGTCACCAAGCTTAGGAGAAATAAATCTTCATAGGGAAAAAAAAAGGGTACTGGCAGAATTGAAAGAGAAAAAGAAATGGACTGAGCCTGTGAGACTTATGGAAAGTTAGCAAATGAGCAGAAGTCTCTGGAACCGATAGATGTCTTAGCGCTTGCCTCACAGTTCTGGGATTTGTAATAACAGATAGTTACCCTTTGCAAATCCTCAAAGTGGCCCATGTAGCAACCCTGATGGTTCATTCTAATCAACAAAGTGGTTTTCAGGTTAGTGGATAACAGGCAAACCAGGAAGTGAGCATCTGTTTGTGAGTCGGGGGAGAAAAGCTTGGCATTGTTGCAGCCATGATTGATAGAAGAAACATGCTTCCACCCCGGTTTGTGGTGGTCTGTTGAATTAGGGGTTTGCAGGAATCACTAGGTCACAACATAAGGAGTAAGAAGGACTTCTCCACCCTGAGAGGTATATACGGAGGAATATCTGATCATGGGATCAACTGGAGAAAACCAGTAGGAACTGGCTTTTCAGAAAGATCACTCAGTGTAGAGAATGGATGAGAGAGGGTATGACTGCTGGGAGAGAGACCAGTTGGGAAGCTGGTACGGGTAATCTAGATGAGATAATTATGGTCTGAACTTGCATAGCAGCACTGTGCATAGGGGAAAATGGATCAATGCAAAGATATTTAAGAGCAAAAACAACAAAATATGATATGGGAGGTGAAGGAACATGGATGTTATCATACACTTATCAAGGAATCTTTTTTTCAGTGGAACATCTATGAACACACAGAAGAACAGTTATAGCAAAACACATGACTGAATGGACAATATAGTGAAAATGCAAACTTTGGCGTAGAGTGGTGAGGAGAGGCCCCATGAAGACACCACATGTCTTACCTTGAGTAGAGGAGGCCTCTGAGTCATGCTTAATGTTGCAATGGGCAATGTAGCTCTGACTGGGGCACTTTTCAGGGAACACTTCTCAGTATAGATGAAAAGTATACTCACCTGTGGAAAAGGCTCTTTTCCTTGTCTGTAAGATAAGATATCTCTCTATTCTGGGTGGTCATGTGGGTCAGAGCCTCACAGGGCATGTGTTGAGGCTTCACACAATAGAAGGCTTCTTGGTCTCTGTTATCCAGATATTCACAGAGTTCAGCACTTGAGTTTAGGGTCAGGCCACATTCAGTGAAGACATGAGAGGTGCCATTAACAAATTTACCTTTGAAAATAATTTTATTATAGCCTTGGTTCCTTGCCCTCCAGAGAGCCGATGCCCCTTCACTGGGATGGATGAGCAGCAGAGACAGGGAGACCTGGCCCTCCCAGAACAGAGTGAAGCTGACCAGGTAGGTGCCATTGTTGAAGTCAGTCACTTTTCCTGAAGCACCTGCCATCAGGGCTGGGGAGGACATCCTGGCCCTCAGGAAATCCCCACCATATTGCTTCCTGTGTCCCAGGTGGTCCCTCACTTCCAGAAGGATGTCCAGCTGATCCCCCCTGCAGTATGTATCTTGAGGGTTGAGGATGGTGGCTATGCTGTGTGTGGCGCTGGTGGTGGTGTTCATGTGGGTGAAAGGTCTGGGTGGGATCTGCTGATCTAGTTTCTCTATGATTTCCTTTATTCTGAGTTCAGTCTCTGTTAGTGACTTTAATGGTATCGGTGATGTTTTAGGGAATACGGACTTTGTGGAGTTGTTCCAGTAATGGATGGAGATGGATAAGTTTAGAGTAGACCAAAGCTGAAATGACAAGGATTGTGATATACTACGAAATTAATCTGTCTAGTCATTTTCACATATTATGAGTTTGAATATTTGTTTACAGTGAATATTTGTATAATTGAATTCAATTTGTTACCAAATTGAATATTTGGTAACAAAGTGGCAGAGTAAACCAAAAGAGAAGAGAAACAAGGAAATGAGATATTATGATGATGATGATATAGTATTATATATTATTATCAATATTATTTAAACTGTGACAATTTTGTATAACATATAAGCATTTACACTTTTACCTCAATATTTTAGAGAATGTCTGAACAGCTGTAGATATATTCGATCCAAAATATATAGCTCAGAGAATAATTATGAGCAATAAACTGGTGATGATAAGTTTACTCTTTGTTTTCATATATGCCTTACATCCAGTAACATCTATATCTTTTAGTCATGCCTAGTAGTCCTTTTCTCTCCAAATGTATTATAGTTCAAGCCACCATCATTTATCTCCTGGATTATAGTGGCCACCCGAAGGATGATGACTGTCTTCAGACTTCAAGGAAGACAGTCCTGCTTTCCCTCCATTTAATTTCCTCTTCTGTAGCTAAACCAGTCGTTTTAAAGTAAAACTCTATTTTTATCATCTCCCTGCTTAAACCCTTTCAATGGCTTCTTGTAATTCTTGGGTAAAAGTCCATTTGTAATATGGCTTTGTCTGTGGCCTATTTTTAACTCTAGTTCTTGCTACTCTCTTCCTTGCTTTTGATGTCTTGATAAGACTTCTTTTATTTTTAGGAGCTGACCTTCCTTTTTTTCAGCTCTTGCTCTTTACTAATACTTTCTCCTCTTCCTGGATTGCTGAGTAACCCCCGAATTCCCCCAAACCACCTAAACATCTCTTAACTTCTACCTTAGAAATCACTACAACCTCAGAGGTCACTTATGCTTTTGGCACTATACAGTGTTTTATAGGCACTCAAATTCAGTGATTTTCAAATCTTGCTGGTAGTCAGAAACACCTGCCAAGTTTTTTTAAAAAAATACAAACTCTTAGGCTTCAGTCTAGATCAACTGAGTCATAATCACTACATTATGTTGTCCAGGAGTATATGTTTTCCAAAAGCCTCAAAAGCAATCTTAGGATCAGATAGATTTGAGAAGAATGATTGTAGACCAGTAGTTGTCAACCCCTCTCACACTTTAGAACACATATAAAGCTTTGAAAAAAATTCAGGCCTGGCTGCACTGCACCCCTGCATCAGGCAGTAAAACCCTTGTGATTGGTAACAAAGTGGCAGAATAAGCCAAAGGAGAGGAGAAACAAGACAATGAGATATCATTTAAAAAAGATGAACAGAACCCAAGTTGAAGTTTTGAAAAAAACCTTGGCAAAGCCAAAAGACAAATCATTGGCAATGCCAACCAAGAAATAGAGATGCAAATAAATGAAATCCCCCAAAAGAACCTTTTTGTAGATCTCTGGAAAATATAAAAATCTTACATTATAAAATAGATAAAAATACAATTTAAAAATGGAATAGAAAATAATCATGTAATATATAAATAACAGTACGAATAAGAATATAATCATCATGATGATAAACTTTTTTCTATTTTTCCCACCTCCGCAAGTCACAGGCTGAGATGCTTTTATTGGCGAGTACAGATATCCCTAACTTATATAACAAGGAAAAACAATCTAATCAATTTTATGAGCTTGGAATATATTTTATACTAAAACTAGGTAAGTATGATACAAGAAAAACACAGGCCCATTTTATTCATGGACATGATTTTTAGATTCTCTGTCTCTTTCTCTCTGTGTGTATGTGCATATATGTATATACATACAAAAGTATATAGGTAGATTAAATATATACAGATGTGTGTGCATTTGTCATGGTTGATTATGGGTGAATTCAGGGTTGTAAAAATAGTTCTAGAGTGAAAAATCTTGTTGTATCATTTATATATTAATAGACTAAAGACAAAATCTTATGATTTTTCACTGTTCTCAGGCTTATCTGATTGGGATTGCAGTTGCAATAAAAGCATTTGATGTATTTCAACATTTACTTAGCATTAAAATTCAGTAATAGGAAATCTTAAACATTTTAAAAATCAAGGAGACAAGGACACTAGCCACCACTGACTCAATTAATGTTCAACATAATGTTAGAAGTCCTGAACAATAAAATAAAGCAAACAAACAAAAATCCAAGGTATGAGACTGATGGGGGAGAAGCGACTTTTTTTCTCTTCTTTTCTTTGTTTTTTGTAGGTGTTGTGACTGTCTACAAAGAAACCAGAGTTAGCAAATTATTAGCATGAAGATAGTCAGCAAGGAGTGGAATGCAAAACAAACTCACAAACTCAAAAGCATTTCAGTTATAGAAAATACAATTGAAGAAGCTCTGTCCTTAATGGAGGTATTTTGAAAACTCTTTTAAGGATATTTTTTAAATGCCTGAATGAATGAAAAGATGTAGCACTTTGAAATGTAGTAAGGCTTAATTTGTTAAAGTTGTTAATTCTCTCTCAAAAAATTTAAAAATTTTCTTTATTTCTAATCAAATTCTTAAGGTGGAAGATGGAATCTGATTAATTCTAAAATTTTAGGGAATATAATTGTCTATAAATCGTAACTATTTAAAAAATATTAGCCCTAGTGTAAATTATTGAAAGAAAATAGAATTATAAAGTGCAATATCAATCAAATAAACCAATCAAAAGGAGTAGACACCTTCGAAGCAGACTTGAAGTTTATTATAGATTAATGGTAACATCAGAAATCAGAAAATTATATTTAATAAATTGTATCAAGAAACTGGTTTCACTATATTGAAAAAAAACCCAAAGATTCTTATCACACACGACATACTAAAGATCCAAATGAATTAAAGGCCTAAATAGGAATATTGTAACTAAAAGTTCAATATAAAGAAATTTATAATTTCCTTATGACCTCACATCAGCAAGTATTTCTTAAATAAGACCTCCAAAGTGATTCTCTTGCCTCAGCCTCCTGAATAGCTGGGATTACAGACGCCAGCCACCATGCCCGACTAATTTTTTGTATTTTTAGTAGAGGCAGGGTTTCACCATGTTGGCAAGGCTGGCCTCAAACTCCTGACCTCAAGTGATCTGCCTGCCTCGGCCTCCCAAAGTGCTGGGATTACAGGTGTGAGCCACCATACCCGGCCGGTTAATCCAATTTATTTAGGAGACTGAATAAATTAAACTTTGTATATTCATAGAATGAAATACATGCAGTTCTCAGACATCATGAAGTACATTTACATATAGCAACAAGATTAGATTTCAAAAAGCTATTTTGAATGAAAAAATTAAAGTATTTATGTAAGTTAAAATAAATATAAACACTAACTCGTAACTATATATCATCCTAGTCCACATATATACATAAATACACGTATTGAATAAGAATTGAAACACTCTGAGAAATAACTAGTATGGAATGGTAGGTACGTATTGGGAAAAGAGGAAGGAGAGTATGGGTGGGAAATAATTTTCGTTTAAGTGTAACAAAAGAGTTCTGTTTCATATATGACCAAGTAACTTCTGGCTCTCTTTCAGACAGCAATGTTCAACTCTGAATGAAATGCCAAAAACAAGTACCTGAAAGCTAAAGACAGTGAACAAAAGCAGGCAAGTTTTGGTGGGAAGATGAAACTTGGAAGAAGGTGCCATTAAGAGGAGGTAAGTTTCCTGTTTTTGATGTGTTAACCTGAGGGCAGTCCACTAAGAGAGTAGCTAAAACACAATAGAAATAGAAAGCCATCTTTTTTTTTTTTTTGGCTTCAACAACCTGAGAGCAGAGTCTGCAGCAACACAGTCACTGGAAGGAGGGGGAAATCCTAGAACACAGAGAGACAGAGAAGGTCATGCCCCAATTTCTGAGTATGAACTTTGCTTAGATCTCTAGCTGACCCCTGAAGCACACCTATGGGGTAGACACAAAGCAGTCTGCAGCTAGTCAGAACTCAACTGAGATGTGAGTTACTTATAACCACAGGTTGGGTCAGTTTGCAGTTTGAGTTGAACCAAGTTAATCGATTGCCTGCCACAACAAAAACATCGACACTATTCTGAGGAGTAAAACAGAATCCGTGATCTCCACAACGTAACAGTCACAATGTCCAGGACACAATTCACAATTACTCAGCATAGGAGGAACCAGAAAAATGCAGTCCTTTGCAAAAGATAAGACAATTAATGGAAACCAACCCTGAGAAAACATAGATGTTGGCCTGATCAGATAAGGACTTTGAAACAGCTATTATAACTATGCTCAATGAGGTAAAAGAAAATATGTTGTAATGAATGGAAGATAAGAAATCTCAGCAAGGATGGAGAAATATTTAGAAATGTTGATGAAAAGAGTCAAACTCTGTAAAATATTTGAATAGCTTTATTCTGAGCCAAATCTGAGTGACCATGTGACACAGCCCTCAGGAGGTCCTGAGAACATGTGCCCAAGGCGGTTGGGGTTCAGCTTGGTTATATATATTTAGGGGAGGCATGAGATATCAATCAAATACATTTGAAAAATACATTGGTTTGTTCCAGTAAGGCAGGACAATTTGAAGTCGGGGGGATGATGCTTCCAGGCTATAGGTAAATTTAATCATTTTCGGATTGACAATTGGTTGAGTTTGTCTAAAGACCTGGAATTAATAGAAGAATTTGAGCAAGATAAAAAAACCAGAGCTTAGTCCTCAGAAAGAACCAAACAAATTTTACAAAAGAACAAACAATATCTGAGATAAAAATATATCTCTTAATTCACTACGCTAAACTGCCCCCCTGCTTTTCAGTGTTTATCTGTAAGATCAAGTTTATGTTTATCAATTGTGTTTAGACCTTGTCTCCATTTACTAAGTTAAGGTCTTTTTGATTTATAAGTTTCTGAAAGAGGCCTAATAAAAATTCCCACTATAGCTGTGGCTATATCAATTTTAGCTTGTGATTCTGACTGTTCCCACTTATGTATGTTGAGATTTTTTGCTAGGGCCATTCACATTTATTATTATTATATCTTCTTTGTAAATTGTTCCTTATGTAGCATCTCACTTTATCCTTATTTATGTCTTTTCTTAAATTCTATTTTCTTTACTTTTTAACATCAATATTTTGTCAAAATTTAGTAGAGTAAAATGTTTAAGAAAATCAAGGAAAGAAAATATGAGCCAGAAATTTTATAAGAAGACAAACTGACCTTTCATTATAAGAATCACAGGCAAATTCTAATGAAAACATTAGAATTCAGGGACTATTTTGCCCAGATCCTTCCTAAGGAATCTACTAAACAGCATGAACATTAAACAACCAACGTAATTGAAAAGTTTGATATAAGGATTTATGGTAAGAATGAATCATATATTTATTTACAGAAATAAGTCTAAATTATGCTTACAAGGAATAGAGAATAGTATGCAATGGTTGTGTGCTCTGACAATGTAGATATAGTACAACTATAAAAAATTGGTGGGGGAGTAGGGAAAGCTATGAAAAGTAGAATTAGCTTGTTGTTTGCCTTATAGTTATTAACCGAAGTAAAAGGACATTACTTCAAATCAGATATTGAGGAAAAGGGAGAGTTGGGGCAAAAGAGGTTTATAGTTACTTTCAATATTGCTCATTAGAGGGAAGCAATAGTCATTTACCAAGAAAAAAAGTAAAGAAGGGTTATATAAATGGATTAAAATAGACATAATCATTAGAACAAAAATATAAATTTCACTAAATAACAGTAAAAAATCAAGCAAACTAGACCCTATAAAGATATGAATATATATGATTATAACATAAAACAATATGTCATACTGACACCAAACATGTTTACCACATCAATAAATATAAATTAGCTTATCTCACCAATTAAAGTATATTTTCAGGTCAGGTACAGTGGCTTATGCCTATAATCCCAGCACTTTGAGGCAGGAGGATCACTTAAGGCCAGGAGTTTGAGACTAGCCTGGGCAATATGGCAAGACTCTGTCTCTACAAAACACATAAATAATTCGCTTTGGGAGGCTGAGGCGGGCAGATCACTTGAGGTCAGGAGTTTGAGGACATCCTGGCCAACATGATGAAACTCTGTCTCTACTAAAAATACAAAAATTAGTTGGGCATGGTGGCGGGCAGCTGTAATCCCAGCTACTCGGGAGGCTGAGGCAGGAGAATTGCTTGAACCTGGGCGGCGGCGGTTTCAGTGAGCCAAGATTGTGCCATTGCATTCCATGCACTCCAGCCTGGGCGACAGAGCAAGACTCTTAATTATATGTAATTATATACATTATATATTAGCCAGATGTAGTGGTGTGTGCCTGTAGCCCCAGCCATTCAAGAGGCTGAGGCAGGGAGATGACTTGAGCCCAGGGAGCCATGTTTATGCCACTACACTCTCTGGGGTACAGAGAGAGACCCTGTTTAAAAAAAAAAAAGTCTTTTTAGATTGGTTAACAAAGCCAAATCCAACACTGTGGCTTACATAAGAGACATACTTATAACACAGATTCAGAAAGATTTTTCATAAAAGAAGAATGGTACTTAATAATGAGAGATTAAACACCTCCCCAAGATTGGGACCAGTCAAGAATGTCCTCTTTCACCACTCCTATTCAACAATGTAGTGGAAGTCATAGTCAGTGCAATAAAACAAGAAGGAGAAATAAGAGAAATATATATTGGAAAGGAAAAAGTAAAGCTGTTTTTATTAACAAATTACATGACTGTCTATATAGAATCTACCCAAAGAGTCTACGGAAAGTTCTTGGAACTACTAAGTAAATATAGCAAGGTTTCAGGAAACAAGGTCAATATATAACATTTAATTGTTTTCCTATATACTAGCAATGAACAATTGGAATTTGAAATTACAAAAAAGAAAGCCATTTACAATAGTACCAAAAAAGTGAAGTACCTAAGTATAAATCTAACAAAATATATGCAGGATCTGTATGTAGAAAGCTATGAAACATTAATGGAAGACATTTAAAAAAATCTAAATAAATGGAGAGATATTCCATGTTCATGGATTGGACAGACTAAATATTGTTAAAATGTCAATTCTTCCCAACTTGATTTATTGATTCAATACCATTTCAATAAAAATCCCAGCAATTTTTTTGTAGCCATCAACAAACTGACTGAAATTTTATATGGAAAGGTAAAGGAAGCAAAATAACTAACCCAATTCTGAGAAAGAAGAACAAAATTGGAAGAATCTCATTGTCCCACTTCAAGGCTTACTGCAAAGCTGCCGTTATCAAGACAATGCAGTATTGGTGAAAGAATGAACACATTAATCAAGTGAACATAGTAGCCAATAAATAAACATATACAAATATTATCAACTGATTTTTGACAAAGGCACAAAGGCAATTTAATGGAAAAATGAGTCTTTTCAACAAATAGTACTGGAACAATTAGATGTTCATACTAAAAAAATGAGCCTAGACACAGATCTCACAATTGACAGAAAAGTTAACTCTAAATGGATCACAGACCTAAATATAAAATCTAAAATTTCTGGAAGAAAACATGCATGAAAATCTATGTGAACTTGAGCTGTTGATGAGGTTTTAGAAATAATATAAAAAGCACAATCCATGAAAGAAATACTGGTAAGTTAGCTTTTACTAAAAATTAAAGCTTCTGCCCTATGAAAGACACTGTTAAGAGGATGCAGAGATAAGCCATAGAGGGTGAGAATATATTTTCAAAGCACTGATCTGGTAAAGGACTTCACCCAGAATATACAAAGAACTCTTAAAACTCAACAATAGGACAAAACAATTTTAAAATGTGCAAAAGATCTGAATGGACACCTCACTAAAGAAGATACACAAATTATAACTAAATATATAAAAAAGACACTCAATTTTATTTGTCAGGGAGACAAAACAGCAATGAAATACTATTACATATCAATTAGAATGGCTAAAACTAAAAAATAAAAAACCTGACAATACCAGTTGCTGGTGAGAATGTAGAGCAGTAGGATTCTCACTCATTGCTGGGGGGAATCCAAAATGGCACAGCTACTTTGAAAGACACTTTGATAATATCCTATAAAGCTAAACATAGTCTTACCATTCAATATAGCAATTTTTCCCTGTGTACGTATCCAGTTGATTTGAATGCTTATGTCCACACAAATACCTGCACATGAATGTTTATAGCAGCTTTGATCATAGTTGCCCAAAACTGGAAGCAACCAAGAGGTCTTCCATAGGTGAATATAGGTAAATTGTAGTACATTGATATAGTGGGATAATATTTAGCAATAAGAAAAATGAGCTATCAATTCATGCAACAATGTAGGTGAATCTTAAATGCATAATACTAAGAGAAAGAAGCCCATCTGAAAAGGCTATGCACTGTATGATTGCATTACTATGACATTCTGGAAAAAGGTGGTTCTATAGAGATCAAAAACTAATCAATGGTTGCCAGAAGTTTGGGGAGGGGAGAGAGTTGAATAGGGGGACTTTTTAGGTCAGTGAAATTACTGTGTATGATACTGTTGTGTATACATGAAACTGCAGAAGTTCTTTGAATCTTATAACACAAAGAGTGGATCTTTGTTTGTTTGTTTGTTTGTTTGTTTGTTTTAAGACAGAGTCTTGCTCTGTCGCCAGGCTAGAGAGCAGTGGCGTGATCTCGGCTCACTGTAACCTCCGCCTTCTGTGTTGAAGCAATTCTCCTACCTCACTCTCCCAAGTAGCTGAGACTACAGGGGTGCACCACCACGCCAGCTAATTTTTGTATTTTTTAAATAGAGACGGAGTTTCACCATGTTGACCAGGATGGTCTCGATATCTTGACTTCGCGATCCACCCACCTTGGCCTCCCAAAGTGCTGAGATTGCAGGCGTGAGCCACTGTCCCTGGGTGAGTGAATCTTAATGTATGCAAGATAAAAAAATCAATTAGGAGATTGAGGGACTAAAGGGTAGAACACAGTGTTTTAACTGTATTACAAATTTAACTGTATTACAAATGTATGACATAACCTTGCTGGAGAAAGCTGCTGACCTAAGCTGCTTTGGAAATTAATAGAGTCTGTAAGACGAAAGACAAAAAGAACTGCTTATAAACACTGTACTCTCAGTTAACAGTTCTGAAACCATTGTGTGTGTATGCTGGGGGGTGAACACATAAATAAATAAATAGATGACAGATGGTGGGAACCAGATTCCTCATTATCGATGTGGTAGGTGAAGACTAGTGTGTGAACTGTGTAGTGATGGATGAGAGAAATATCAGTATGAGCCCATGTTTAGCTTAATATAGATTGAAACATATTTTATGTATAATTATAGATATGCATGTATTACTGGCTAGTATCATACATATATTTCTTTTTTTTCTTTTTCTTTTCTTTTTTTTAGAGATGGGGTCTTGCTATGTTGACCAGACTGATCTCAAATTCCTGGTCTCAAACAGTCCTCCCATCTCAACCCCCCAAAGTGCTAGGATTATAGGCATGGGGCACCATGCCTGGCCAGTATTTCTGAGCACAGTCTTCTGAGAGGGCCTAGAAGCAAAGACACCCCAATCGTAACAAACAAAGCCAGTGTCTAGATCTTTGTTTCCAATACCATTCTCCAGTAAAAGGAATCAGGGCTCCTTGGATAAATGGCTGATTCTAGGGCTGGGGTAGGGAATATACAAGATGAGCCTAAAGCATCTTATAGTGTCGGAAAGCAAGAAATGCTCAAAAGAAGCAAACAAACAAAGGAACACAGGAACCAATGGAAAGAGCTAATGGCCAAAGTAGAACAGTTTGAGTAACAAAATAATGTACTGTTGGATTATGTCTCAAAGTATGAAATAAATATCTATGAATTCACACTGATGTAAATGAATTATTGAATAAACAAATATGTGAGGGATAATAGGCAAATCTCTTGTACAGAAGAATTCCAGATAATGTATGCAGATTCTTCCCACTCAAGGAGATGGAACAGAACTGCCCAATCTTTAAGTGTGGAATTGAACTAGTGACCTCTTTAGGAAGAGTACAGTAAAGAGCAGGGTGGGGCAGAAGGAAGAGTAATCTTACTGTGGAGAAACCTGACAAACATCAGCTCAGCCAAGTGATCAAGATTGACATCATCAGTGATGTCATATTG